TAAGGAAAAGAGAGAAGAAAGAAGAAGTAAAGAAGAGAGATAAAGAAATAGAAAGAAAGAAGAGTAAACACCAGATAGAAGTGTAACAGAAAGAAGAAGAAATAGGAACATTGAAAGGGAATTTAGAGAAATAAAAGAAAGGGAAGAAGAAACTAATAAATTAAAGAAAGAAAAAGAGAAATAATTAAGAGAAATAAACAAGAAGAAGGAAGAAGAAAACAATAAAACAAAAGATAAGACCAAACAACAAGAAGAAGAAATAACAAAGATAAAAGAACAAAAAGACGTAGAAATTAAAGAGAAAGATAAAGATAAAGAAATAGAAAGAAGAAAAAGCAAGGAATTAGAAGATAAAAGAAATTAAGAAACAGAAAGAAGAAAATTATAAGATTGAAACAATAAAAGAAAATTCAATTATCAAACTATCAGAAGAAAAAGAAAACAACGTCAATGAAGAAAATATCAAAGATGTAAATTTTAACAATTGAAGAAGAAGACAATACCATTGACAAAAACAGAAATACCAAAGAAGTGGATCGAGTTGAATAATTATAGAAGAGAAGAAGTAGATTCTATCAAAGAAGAATCTAGGAAGAAACTAAAACAAATACAAGAATGAGTAATTCAAAACATGAGAGAATAATTACTAAGGAATGACATTAGAAGAACTGGAGAAGATAAATGGAGAGAATATCAATATAGAAGAAATAATAAAAACAAATAAATAATCGGAACTAGATGAAAATAAGATAAAAAGTTATTAATATATTGATTAAATATAATAAATATTAAAATGAAAATTAGATATTATAGAAATTAAAGAGATAATAGAAGAAAGAAGAATAAAGATAAATAAAGAAGAATATATAGAAATGAATAAAAGAACAAGATAAATAGATGAAAGAAACAAGAAAAAGATAATATAAACAACAATAAATATAATGAATAAATATAATGAATAAATATCCTTCAAATCAATTCAATAAACTAAAATAAATAAAGATAAACCACATGAAAGATGAAATAAATAATAATAAAATGAAATAATACAAGAAAATAAAGAAAAATAAATAAAATAATATATATTAATTATTATTTCAATAAAAAAACATATGATGAAATAATTAAATATATGAATGAAGAATGAAAGTGTGAAAGTGAAAATATCGAAGATATCAAAAAAGAAATATATAAAATATCATATTGTATTTCTAAATATCAATAAAATAATTTTATAAATATCGAAATGATGAAATTAATAATCTAAGAAAAAGATCAAATAAATTAAAATAATTATTAATTAACAAGAATTACACTAGAATTAAAATAATAAAGAGAAATAAATAATACAATGATGAATATATTAATAATAAAATATGAAATTAAACAAATATAATATTTAATTAATAAGAATAAGAATA